TGTTTATGTGTAGGAAAAATGTTGCCATATTGCACCTTTGTTACAATATTTCACTCTAATGTCAAATTAATGATAAGCTGGATATGTTGAAGAACACAAACGATAAACTGCTTTATCACTATTATTCCTGTAAAGACAAGTACTTCAATCAACATAACTTGAAGCATGTGGTACTCAGAAGAAGCACAAGTATTTCCTGGCTGTGTCTTGTGGCCCTGTCTTTTTCTCACCTCCATCAGCCCCTAAAATACATCTAAGTGTTTTCACTAGCAAGGTTCTTTAATCTGCTACCTTTGTCTTTACAAAATCAGAAATAAATGCATAGCTGCCTAATACAATTTCATGTATGGCAGCTTTGTAAAATACAGATCTCTTCAATGTGGTATTTAATGTGATGGATGGGCCCTAGCTGACAGTATGGAGTTTTTTCCCCCACATTTCTCAGAAAAGTTGGAGCAAATGTGGTCAGACAAGACCTCTGAGGGAAGAGGGAATAGGGAAGATTACAAGGGCTGTGGGCAGGGTGTAAAGGGAAGGTGTTCCAGACCTGAGACAGAAATAACAATGTGCAGCACTGTAGTGGAAGTTCTTGTCCCCAAATTGCTCCCTTTCTTTGTCTTTGTCATTGCAGCAGTGTGAGTACTTTCCCTTCTCTCGTTTCTTGCCCGTGGGGCACTGAGTCTGCTAAAACCATCTGCCACTCCTTGTTTTATTGCATGCAGTTGACAGCTGCGGGTGGGAAGTAGGTGGTTAGAAAAGGAGCTGAGACCCTATTTGTTGGATACCAGAGACCTCTGTTGGCAAGATAAGATGATTATGTTTTCATCCCTCTTTCTTACCCAGAACTTCTCAGAGTACTCTGCCAGTGTTATAGAGCGTGTGAAAAGTGGCTGTCAAGTAAAAATATCAAATATGGGAAATTTCTAAGACCTGTGAATTAACTGGGAATTCGCAACTTCATGTTAAGTGAATGTAAAGCTGTGACCCTTCACCATTTCTGAAGTTTCCCTTAGAAGATGGGATGTTGACTTCAAGGTTTTGATGCTTCTGTGTCTAAGAAACCTGCTAGTCAGCCATGATTTAGTCATGCTGCTTTGATTCTTGAGGTGGTGTGTCTTTCACAGTGGAACTTTAAGTTTTTTGGAGAGAAAAAATAAAAATTTTTCTGACATGGACTTTAAAGTAAAATGATGACTATTCAAGCAAGCTGGTAAGTGTAAGAGTAAATTTTAGGGGGCAATGGATTCTAGAACCCTAAAAGGCTGGAGGTTCTTCCACAATACACTTATTACATGTTTCTTATTTATTGTTTGATATTGCTCTCTTTATGCATATGCATAGTAGGCCCCAAATGGCCTTAAAATTATGCAACCACATTTCCTAATGTAAATTCTCTATCCTGAGTTCAGAACATTATCAGTAATGATTGCTTTTCCCTGAGTATTTTAGGCAAGCATATTACTGTTAAACTAATAAGATGTATTTGGAATGATTTAGTGACCTCAAAAAACTCTGCCCACAGGTTTCTTTCTTATAATAAAATTGAGTATAACTGAACTCTACATTTTAATTACCTGTATCTGAACAAGAGCAAATAGTCTTTAAAGGTATGGAACCTCTGTTTACTCACACGGGTTTTAGAGTCAAAAAACTGCTAATAACTTCTTACTTGAAAGCATGAGGTGAATGGCTGGTGTAAAGCCACTTGATACCATGAGTGAAGAAAGTTGCCCAATGGCAACCTATTATTAAGTGCTGCAGTCTCTGTTTTTTAAGCAGGGCTTTTGACCAAACTGGAGACTGAAACAGGAAACATGCAGCTGACACAGTTCCCTCTCCTTTGGGACTTGTATTCAATATAATGAGTTATTAATGTGCACTAACCATTAAGGTACCTTTCAATTATTTTTATCAAAATGTTGTCATAAAAGAAACATTTTATTTGTCCTCTTAACAATGGTTTTTTCTTGTACACTGGCTCATTTCTTTCTCACGTGTTAGCATATAGTCTTTGATATTGTTTTAGTAGGAGTGGTGACGATGGGCACAATGATGGCATGATAGAGTACCATAGGCATTCATCCACATCTGCTGAAATTATTTAATTGTGTTTTGGTGCTACTGAAGTGCTCTGAAGTTTAAGGTCTATAAATCTGCAGGCTTCTTGTGGAGTCTTTGCTGATTATAGAAGACATATTTTATAGAAGATATCTCGTATTCTAGGCGTGAAGCTATAAGATCTCATGAAACTTGTAATGGTCAGTCAAAACACTGAAGCTTAGTTAAGTGCAGGATAAGTTGGAGAAGTCCTTGATAGTTTGATGCCAGTTATAAAACACTTGATTTTGAAAATTTACTCTGGGTCATGGAACTCCTGGTGATTAGACTTGCCAAGACTTTTACAAAGGCAGTAGATTTTCTTTTAAATAGAGAATATTTCACAGCTGCAATCAAATTTCACACCTAAGTGAGCAAAAAGTATTTTGGTGCAGTATGGTTTACCACGTGCTTTTTATGTTCTAAAAGTCTTTGAGGTGCTTGCTATAAGAAGATCATCTTATAACAGGGCAATTCCAAAACTGAAATACAAGATGTCAGCATGACTAGAAAGATTTTTAATACTGCTTTTTGTTCTGTTCTGGCATTTGTGATCCAGAATACTAAAAGATGAAAATACGTAATTAGCTTTGTTTCAGCATTGGTTTTGATAAGTTATATATCTATACTGATTTTTTAACAATATTAAATCTTCAAGCTATTGCATATTGGAGAAAAGGGTTAATATACCTGAATTACATTAAGCTAATATAATCTTATTGCAAATAATTAGTCTGCAGGACAGTTAATTGGGCTGCTCTTAATTTTCTTTTTTTTTCCATGCTTCAGGTGACTTGCACAGAAAAAACAGACTTCTTAGATTATGTTACAGCTCCGTATTTTAGATCGTTAGGCTTAGAACAGGTCACCGCAATTTTTGTATTGAAAATTCTATGTGAAACTTGATACAAAAATATACAATTATTACACTCTTCAGCTTCTTTTTGATATGTTACACATCTATTTTCAGAAGGAAAAGTAAATATTTAAACTTAAAATAAAAGTAACTTTTAACCTTAGGAAGAATCCTGGTTTTGAAATTTTGGTAGTATTCTAGAGGTGGTCATAATTACATTAGAACTGTAGTATGATTTAACTATTTTTTAATTTTTAAAGAATATATATGACTTGGAGTAATCACTTGACATTCAAATCTAAGAAATTAAATTATATTTACAACTTTATTTCCCTTGCACACTTCTGTAAAGTTTTAACTCCTATAGCAATTAAGAAAACACATGAAGTATTTATTTTTTCCACTAAACTCTATTACGTGAAATCAAAAAGTTAATGGGGATTTTCCTCACAACTCCCATTAATTTCAGCATGATTCTTTGAATCAAAATTTAATCAGTTTATTTAATTTAACTCTTAGACTTTTAGCTTTGCTGTCTCCGAATCAAGTGAAGTCAATCTTGTTCTGGACAAGACAATCTTTACAGGACTGCTTTTCGCTAATGCGGCATAGAGTTGTTTATTGTATTATGATTCTTAGTTATTTTTTAATTTCTTCATATATTACTCTTGAATTTCTGTAGCATTTCAAAGGGAATGAACAGCAAAATTGAACAGGATAAAAATTAAGGTTTTCTTGATACTTATTTCAAGGTTACTGAGGTGTAAAGTCTCACAATTTGTCTCTTATCTAATCTGGTTTTACTTAGAAGATATACAGTTACTTTTTGGATAGAAGATATAATGTATGGTGAGTGTATTTACCCATTTTGTATGCATGGAAAAACAGATGAGAAATGTTTCTTGGAATTTCTGAGTTCCCTTAACAGTATTTTTTACTGTTTCTGACCACTATCTGCTATTACTAGAAATCATTTCGTTCATGCATACCTATTTTTTTCAGCATTAGAATTGTCAGCTTCTCACGACTTCAAAACTTTAAAATTTTTTTTGACTCTCCTTTTTCATTTTTCTACTTGTTCTACAGTACTTTTTTCACTAAGTTGTATTTTGGTCATCCAGAATTATTTCTGAGTTTTTTCCATTTAGTGTTTCTTGCCTTAATTTTTGTCCCTCAGACTTAAAAAATAAACATATGCCAAATACTATATCTTTATGTATTTGTATTCCTTGAGAGTATACCTTTTTTACCCATGTTGACATGCATTTAATCTGATAATTGTCATTGGCCCATAGACCATCACCATCACTCAGTGAGAATAATGCTGTCTGACATATCTCTACTTGCTCTGTTCTTTCTAGTGTACTTTTGCTCATTTTACACTTGAAAGTACAGCTTATCTTAAAAAATATCAATAGTGATACTGAAGTATACTTTCTTCTTATTGATTAGTATTCATTGACTAGGGTGTTCATGCAGTAAAATGTGAAATTGTGTGGTAATTATAGTTTGTGTTCATTCTGGTTGTATATTTTTGAAAGCGTGTTATGCTTGCAGTAATTCCTTGTTGGAAAGCATTTTGCAACTGTTCTTAACGTTTTTCTCTTATTTTCCTTTTGTTTTGGGTTCCATCCTTTCATTTGTCAGTCTCTACTCTTAAATTATAAAAACTACATGGCATATTTGAAGAAATTTATTTTTGTCTGTTGATCACATACTTATTTGAGTGTCTAACAAGGAAGAAACATATGTTAGGGATGTTAGATTAGTAAATGTTGATGTTCTCTAATCTAGACTGATAGCCACCTTTTCTTTTGAGATTTTAAACTATGGAAACTGTGTTTATTTTCTTGTCTTCAAAAGGCATATGATTTTTATAGCATATGTTTGTTGTTTAGCAGCTTCCAGGAATCCATCTGAAAATGTTAATGGCATTGACAGATTGTATTTTGACATGCCAAGTGTCATGAAGTATGATGGACATGTGACTTCTCCAGTTTAAAAGATCTAAATATATATGTATTTTTTTCTTTTTATATTTTTCTAGGGAGAAAGGTTTAATCACAAGAAATGGATGCTAAAGGATTACAAGGAGATGATAAACTGAAGGTGCTTGTCATTTTAATAGCATATTTGGTAAGTTAAAGATTAATATTATTCCCCCATGTTGAAAAAATTGTACTGAACACAGAATCTGTGTCTTTCACACATTACTGCTAACACTGAAAGTCTTCAAATGCTGCACACAGACAATTGCTTACACATTTTATTGATTTCAGCTTAAGTCTGGTCCACTGATTCATATAATTTTTGGCTGCTCCTCATACACAATTACAAAACTTTACCTTGTGAGCCTCTTCATGGACAAAGGAGTGGACTAGAACAGGAAATAAAGGTGAATATAGTGCTGGGGAGGTGATCCTGCTTCACAGGTGGCCAGCTGTTACTCCACTGTGCTTTGTACATAGTTTAGGTGTTTGGAGTATTCAGTTTATGGACAGAATGTAGCATAGCACACAATTATATTGCCTGTTCATTGTACTTTGGCTTGCTGTAGAGCTAAGGGTAATTAATAATTCAGAAAGTTATTTTTAAGATCAAAGCATGAATTTATTTCTCAGATTTAATATATTTTGATGAATTTACCCTTTTTTTGGTTTTGTTGTTGGTTTGGGTTTTTTAGCTAAGCAAGGTAATTTGTGAGACTGGAGATTGCAGAGAACAAGAATTTAGGGACCAGTCTGGAAACTGTATCCTCTGCAAACAATGTGGGCCTGGAATGGAACTCTCAAAGGTAACAAAATCATGCTTTCTTGAATTTACTTTATTTCTGATAAGTGCATTTACATATGTGATCTAAAATAATGGATATCTGTACTTGCATGAAAAGATTTATTGTTTTGGCATTTGAGCCTTTTGCAGTTTTTCAAGAACCATGTTATCTGCTTCATTTTATACTAAATGCTCAGTTCATAAAATGATGCCACTAATAAAGTAGGCAGTTCCATCTGGATGGGCTCTCAAATTATTGATTTAAAGGTGAGTTAGTGCTACAAAGGAGGGAAGAAACTACAAAGGGCAAAATAGAAAACTACAAGGAGTTAAGACTGAATAACCTTACTCTGTAGAAGAGAATGTGAAAAATTAATTTCAAACCAGTGATTGGTACAGACTGCTGACATGGAGGGCCTTAATTCTTACAGCGTTGACATTGACAATGGATTCTGGATTTTAGGTGAGAAAGTTGAAATACTTTATATATGACTCCTTGTTTTAACAGAATGGTTTATAATAAAAAGGTCATAAGCACACAAATACAGAATAAGATTCAAATGAGAGCTAATATATTTCCTTAGAACAGGAGGGAGATAGGTGATTGTTCTGTTTTCACTAGGTTTGTGGTTGGAGCACTTTTGGGAGCCAGATTTGAGTCAGGCTCGATTTCTTTGTTTTACAATTCATTAAAAATGCTATAAACCTAATTCTTATCTTTATACCATGCAAAGTAATTGAAAAAGGTTGAGGCCAGAAAAATACATGATAATATTTAGAAATCACATAAGAAATTCTTGTTAATATCATGGAGGAGGAAATATTAATGTGAATCTTATGTAATTGTATTTTGCTTTTATAACAATTGCATCTCTTCCAAAAGAAAATCACCATAAAAGTTTTTTAATTACTAGGTTTTTAGGACAGTGGAAATGAATCAATGGAGATGAATGCTGCCTGGGATTATGGGCTAAGATTCAGTAGAACTAGAAAGTTCACTTGGCAAAATTTTCAACAAAATTTCAAGTCTGAATGCAAGTCACAAGGTGAATCTTAGTTGTTTTCAGTTCAGATAAAGTAGGTGCTGTGCATGAGCAGGGATAGTGAACAATGAAGGAAGATATAGCTGAAAGAAGGAGAAGGCTGGGGTGTGTTGGGATTCACTAACTCAGTTACTGGAGGTGAAAGAGACAAAATGTGTTGCATGTCTTGGGAGACTGGATGTCGTCAGGAAGGAGCATGTCCTGCCAGAGACATGAGGAGAGTAAGGCAAAAAAAAGTGCAGGGTGGTGTCAGGAAGGGTGAGTAGACCTATGAAGACTCATGTATGTGTAAAAGCCTTTCTTCAGTGTCCAGCTCTAAACCCACATCTTGCCCATTGTTGGAGGGTGAAGCTGTGACCCTGCCATAACTGTGTAGTCAGATCCACACCTGAGAGGTGGGGCCATGAGGAGCATGCCCTTTGCATGCCAAAGGACGAACTCTGACTTTCACTTCTACTGATAGTGTAAAAAGGATGGTGCAGGTGGAAGTTAGGGTGTTTAGGGGAATTCGAAATGTTTCTTTTGAAAATTTTTTAACAAGAACCATTACTAAGTTTGATGTGTGTGTGTTCAAACTGCAGGGGGGAAAAGAAGCTTTCAGTTGATGTTTCTATCCTACTATGTTCAGCTCTGAAAAAAGGCACAAGTTAAGTATTGTGGCTTGCGTGCAATTTGAAGGGATTTACTGAAACTGAGTGACACATTTTCTCTATCTCTTGACCCCCTGTGGTGAGTGTTCAGTTTGTTAACAGAAATATTTGGTTTCACACTTTAGTTGGAATTCCTTTGTATGTTGGGCAGTATTAGTTAAGGTTTAGTCATAAAAGCAATGCTGTTAAAGCAGAGATTTGGACATGACTTACGACATGGATGTGGTTTTGTTTGGATTTTTTCAGATTGGCCTTAAATTTGAGAACTCAAAGGTTCTAGGGGGTGTTCTAATTTATAAAGGCACTTGTAAATATGGCACTTTGTAACAGTGGCCAGTACTATGTGCATTTATATAGTCAGATAATATACTTACCTAGTAGGCAAATAAAACCCAAAAGCATAAAAATTAAGGCCCTCAATAATTACACTCAATTTAATAAAGAAATACTAAAAATCAGCAAGTTTATAGTTTACAGTAGTACATTATTCAAGTTATGGTTTTGCTTCACCTATTTTTGTTTGCTGTCTGATAGTCCTGATTCTTAGGACTAGTTTGGTGTTTTTGAAAATATGAATGCTTGATTAGTTTCACTATGTAAGCAATTACTTCTCACAGACATTAACAGACTTTCAAAAATATTTTTTTCTTCTATGCCAGAAATGAAATAACAGATTTTGCTCAAACCTAAATTAGTGGAATCATAATTTCCTTCATAAACAGAGGCACAGTTTTCTGTGAATCATAGTGAAGGATGTGATACTGTGGCTGTAACTGAAATGTGGTTGAGAGTAGTCATGTAGAACTACAGCTTGAAGCAACAAATATGAAAAGTCAAAGGTCAGAACACAAAGGGAAGAGGTGTTTAATGATACACTTGAAGTAATTTGGAGCCCAGGAGAAGTTTTGCTTCTTTGGCTTTTTATGTATGAGAAAGCAATGGTGTATTAATGTTATAGTTTAATAACAGCTTCTTAGCACTAAATAATATGTCAGTTTTCTTATTAAATATTTAATGCTCATGGATAAAACTAGATATATTACTGGATGTGTGAGCAGAATTGTGCATCTAAGTGTATAGTAAAATACAATGTTAGTGGTGGGGATTTTTGTTCAGTTCCCCAAGTGTTTTAAGTAATTGACAGACAGGTTTCTTTTTATCTTCTTTTTTTATCTTCTAACAAAACACATCAGCCTATATTGTTGAATGCAAAAGCCCAGCTTTTCTCATCTTGTGTATGAGAAATTACTTTATCTCAGTTACAATCTAAATATGTAGTTTTCTTTCTTGTCATGACTGACTTTACAGAAATCCAGGGCAAAAACCCAGCTGTACAGACTGCATATATGTATGTCTGTGTATGTATATACTTATTTTTGCAACTATTATCTACAAATTCAGTTATATACATATATCTTTGTTGCTATAGTATATGAGCATTTCACCTTTCTAAATTAAGGAAATGCCCTTTCTCAACTTTTACATGAGACACTAATAAAAGTCAACTTGCTCATGGTAATGCAGGAATTTTTTGGTAGAACAGAGTAGACAGGCTGTAGAGTGGAACAGAAGCTTTCTCTTCACAAAGCACCATAAGACGAAGGGTGATGGGCACAAATTGTACCAGGAGAATTTCTTTTTTACAGTAAGAACATTTGTTCCCTGAAGCAATCTCCTTAGAGTTGTTGTCACTAGGAGGATGCAACTGGACAGGGTGCTAGATTATCTCAGATCGGCTCAGGCCCCTGAATCATGAAAATTTGAATAAGACATTCTTTCAAATTTCCTTCTAACCTGGCTTTTCTGTGGTTCAATGGTGAATGTTTTAATTTTGGTTGCTCAGTTGATTGGATTGACCTTCCTGTATAGGTAAGCAACTTCAGACACCCTTAATAGCATGAAACAAAACAAAACCAGCAAAAAATCCATCTGTATTTCATGTAACTAACTCTGAATCTAGACCATTCTTGTCAGCTTTTGTTGTCACAGTTTAATGGGGCTCTCTTTTTCAAAATGTTTTTAAAGTAACTTTTTCTTCCTTTAAGTAAGAAAGAAATAGTACCACCCTCAGCTTTTCCTTTCTGATTTCCTATATACTGTTCTAACAACAATGCTGCAATGTTATATTAGCTTAGAACTAAAATCCATTGATCAGTTTTGTAATTGTATTTTTATTAAGTACTTTTAACATACTGCTATCAGAAGAAAGGAAACTTTGTTATTGTATCAATAGAACTGATGGGGAAGAGAGTGAAAGCTGCTTTCCATATTTTTTGCTTCTATTTGTTAATTAAAATTTAAAAATCTCTGTATAGTCTTTTCTTCTCTTAAACATGCGTCTTTGGTAATGTTTGTGAAGCCTTTGAATCACTGAATTAGCTTAGTTTTCAGTGTGCAGAGTCTTTGTTTCAGGTTTTTTTGTTTGGGGATTTTTGTTAGGTTCTTTGGGTTTTTTCCTTTTTTTTGTTAAGCTGTGCTTTCTTCTGGGGTGAGAGACTGAAATGGTTGTGTTGGTTCAGAAGGAAGCATTTGCTTCATGTGTCTCAGCATTATTGCATTTCTCATTCATTTAGTAGAGAGCAAAGCATCACACAGTTGAGCACAAATCATTTAATATCTTTCATTCTTGAAGTGGCTTCAGTTTGCCAGTGCCTGAATAGTCATTGGTTTGGCTTGATAGTAACTACCTTTAATCCTATCTTAGATAAGTTTCTGAAATAATCAAACCTTATTGAAGTTTATACAAATCACAATTAATGCAGAAAACGAACAAACAAACGTGACATAGTTTGCGTTTCAGCCTTTTTTAAAAATGTTCAATTTTTTAAAAATGTTCAAGCACAGGAATGAAGTTCTAGTTCTTTCACCATCATTTTAAGTTACCAGCTGAACCAGTACACTGAGGACAATATATGACAAGGAAGGAGTAGAAACCAAGGGAAGAAAGGGAGAGTGCCTGAAGCCAGCATAGCCATCAAGTAAGCCATGATAAATACTGTCACTGAGAGACAGCTGGTGGTACAGAGGCAGCCTGATGGTTGCTAAGCTGGGGCTGTGTATCACAGCTTGCTTCCTTGTACCAGGGATATGGTGAAGAAAGAGACCTATCTGTTGTCTCAGACAAAGGAATTGTGAATTAAACAGGCAGGTACTGTTTGAAGCTACTCCTGGATGTGGCAATCTTGACACAGAACATCAGAGTGCTGTGCTGGGGCTGACATATTGTCACAGCAAAGCCACCGAGAGCAGCTGCTGCCATGTTTACCAGCCACTCTTCACTTTTCAAAGCAAGAGAGCTGCTTGTGAGGAAGCCTACCAGATCTCCGCTCAGGAGATGCCAACGTGTTTCTGGAAACTGTAGCAGCTGCATGTAGGCATGTCAAACCATCTTCACTGAGAAACTTTTCTGACCCTAGTTGTGCACTTTGACACAGCAGCTAAGTCATGCTGTTTCTGCCTGTCCTGCTCAGAGACTTCTGCTGATACATCCAACTCATTATTGGATTCTAGATGAGGCTGACCCACAGCCTGAGGTACTTTGGGAAACTAAAACTGTGTGCTATTTAACAAGGCCATGTACTCAAAGGTATTAAGAAAAACTTAATTTCCCAGCACCAGTGTAGTGCCGCAACCTGTTACATGACATGACAACAATTAAAAGTGTCTTAATGCTGGGAAGACTTTGTCTTGAGAATACCCAAGTATTCTTGTAATCGTCATGGCATAAGTGGAACTGCTCTGCCTATGTTGTCTAGGGACTTACATAGGTTGTGGATAATCAGTGGAACGAGAAACAATTCTAAAATGTACTTGTAGATTATAATCTTAATGATGCCTGAAAACATTTTTTTAAATTAAATTTGAGGTTATTTTAATTGAAATAATGTTTAAAATCTAATATACTGTTCATTTACTGTCTGTGTTGGATTCAACTTTTAGGGAAAAACCATGCCACTTAACTCCAGTACCCTTTATAGTCTGCTCGACTTATGGTTATTCTGTCTGGATCAGTGTTTGGGTAGTGCATAGTGAAAGAAAATTTTAACAGTGGCCTGGGAGTTCTTGAAGAGGTGTCTGCATTATTCTGTGCTTTTAATATTTTTAGCAAGAAACAAAATTATGAGTTTGGTTAACTAATGTGCTACAGATTTCTGGTCAGCCTTGACCAGTCACCCCACTTGGTACCTCAGTGAAACACTTCTGAACAGAGTTGTTCTGGAGATACGTAAATTAAAGGTAAAGAGATAGCACATTACTGCAATAATGAAAGCTGTATAGATATCAAGAAAATTGAGGTGCATTTGAATTTTGAATATTTTTTTGTAATTGACTTGAATTCAGTTTTCTAAAGGAGTGTTTCAGTTTTTGTGGCTTATGCTCTGCAACTTTTTGGAGAGAAAATTTTCATTAATTAAAAAGGGAAAGTGGAAAGGGAGGAGTTTTCTAAGTGTTCTTCACAAAAAGCTTCACAACAGCAAAAAATAAAGACAGCATGCAAAAATAAAAAATGTTTTTTTGAAATCTAGCTAATTGATATTACAAATTTTATTTCTCTTTTCAGCAGTCCTAAGGTCAAATGCCACAGGAGATGAGGTCTCTTTTAAAGTTAAGAGTGGGAGGGTGGAAAGGGTTGGGGGGAGATGGGAGCTATTCAGATCTCACCAGCTATATAACATGACAACTTTGTAAACAGAACGCTGAGAAAACTGATGCACATCAGTTTTGCACATGTACTGATAAAAGATGAACATTCAATTGTTTGTATCTTTGCTGGACTACTAAATTATAAAGTCCAAGATTTCAAAGGGTTTGAATCCATCATCTAAATCATATCCTTCAGTTTAGGGAATGTGGTTAATTATGAGTACAGATCTGTTTGAAGTTCTGCCTGGTTTACAAGCTTAAATATTTATTTGCACCTGCCAGGCAGTTACCTCAAATATTATGTGAACATAAAAAGCATATACATGAAGTTTTAGTTGTTTTGAATTGGTATCTGCAGAATTCCTGGCAAGGACTTAGAAGCCATCTTTGAAAAGATGGGAGACTGTAAATTCCTTGGGCAGAAGATTTCTTTATATTGCATCCACCATTTTTATAGCTTTAAAGTAAACCATTCCATGATGCCATGGATCACTAGGATGTGTCCATACATCCAGCTGTAGCAAAGCAGATCTTATCTAGAAACAATTTACTCAGCTTTGATAGTTTGGGCCAGTGAGTGAAAGCATTTAATTCTAACTTTTATTTCCTGCTTGTTTTTTGATCCAAGGCTTCAAAGGTAGTCTGGAAAGGGAAACTTATAATTAAGTTAATTCAAGTCTTGTATTTGAAAGTTTGATAGGACTTAGGAGGGACTGATTCCAAGTGATTTATCAAAAGATCCAAATATATATGGTTTAACTGAGTTGTATAATATATTCCATAACACTACTATTTGGATAAGCTAACTAGAAAGAGTAGGTATTTAGAAAGAGTGTATTAAAGATTAATGATATTCAATGAAAAAGTTTAAATAAACTTAGGGAGAGCAAAATCTAACACAAGTTAGTTTGGTTCCAGTCCCTGGTGGTAATCATATAGCTTTGTATACAGTCTTACAATTACATAAATTAAATGGAGTATAGAAATTAACACAGGAAGATACAGCTACAACTGTCATGGCTTTGGCATTGATTCCGAGTAGAAACTTGTCAATTTTAAATAAAATGGTACAAAATGTTCTACATCTGAAGTAAGTAAAAAAATAAATAATTTTATTTTTTATTTTTTTTTTAACTTTTTGCCTACCAACTTTAATATGGTCCCAATGTATCACAGGAGGACTGTGCCATGCAGTGCATGAAACTGTAGGATGCTTTTTATTGTTGTTTCTAACTGCAATGATTTGCCTGTCTTCTCCTTGATCTGAAAAATACTTAATAGTAATAAACTACATTTCAGCTAAAAGAAAGCAAAACAAAAACTAAAAATGATTGTTCAAGTTTGTGGATCTAGAGACAGAGGAAGTAGATGATTTTTAATGTCTTTTTGTAGTTGCTTTCATAAATTGTTTATTTTCTGCATACTTGAGGGACTGTTCAGAGGAAAGTTTATTCTTAACATAAAGTAAAGTAAAAATTCTTAGAAAGTCCTGTAAAATGCGTCCAAAGTTGTTTATTGTTACTTTATCATTGCAGGTTAGAGGCACTATAAAATTCATATTAGCCAGCTTGATCACAGAGCTTGTCCCATAGATGCTTTCTCAGCACAAAGCCTTGGAGAATCCAAGCATGTTGGACCATGGAGAATCTGAGCATGTTTCTAAAGTTTAAAAGCTTTTTTATTGCAGCAGATTTTGCTAGGTTGGTGACTTTGGAAAAAGTTGTTTATATGCATCAAACACATGCATCATGCATGTTTATATGCATCAAACTGGTGGAAACTTTCTCTGAAGTTGCCCTAGTTGAAGATTTCCTGCAGCTTTCCCACTGGGAAGATGCTCTATTCTTCCACTGAAAATAAATACAGGAGAGCAAGTTTCGCATATTGTGCCTTTCCTAGTGAGTTCATTCTGGCAATTTGTTGTGTTCCCTTGCGGTTTTGTGGTGTATCACTAATGCATCAGATTGAACTTCAAAGCACCAAACAAAATTGATAGAATATTTGGATGTTGAGAGGGAATAGCAGCTCCTAGTAACTTGACAACTCCTAAGAAGTTGATTGTTAGCTCTTGGTAATCAGCTCCTAGGATTCAGTTCCCAAACTATTACATATGGCTTGGTGTTTATCTTTTAGCTTGTCCATTGTATTAGGTGTCCTTTTGCAAAAGAATGGAAATAATACATTTAAACTGCTAAATTTGGCAGAAATCACCAACTATAACAATATTGCTTGGGTAGTAAAATATTGTGCCTCCATGTGATCTGCAGATCTATTAAACTTTTCCAACAGTTTGAGAACTGTTAGAACAGTAGTGGGTTGAGTTTTTGAGATTCTTAGTGGCTAAGCAACATTTCATGCCAAGCTGATGGTCATTAACCAGCTCTGGTTTATTTGGTAACAGAAGTCCTAAGCTTTTGAAGATCAGTGCACTCTCTTTGGCAATTAACTTTGTTCACCTTAGCTATGAACCTTAATATCAAAGTGCTTCTTTGCTGTTTTTGTAACTGAGTAAGTGCCTTTATACTTCACTTGTCCCAGTTTCTTCTCTTTCACATGACTGACCTAATTAAAAAACAGACAGCTCAATAATTCTACCATAAGCTAGTAATAATGAAACTGTGGGAGTCCTTGAAGCCCTTTATCATTCAAATACACAGTGGTTTCATGAATAAAGTGGATGACTAAGTATTACTTATAGAAGTAAGGGAGATTATTAGCAGTGGAAGACACATTTGAACTTGCTGAAAGGATGGCTTTTGTCTCAAGAAGGACCTACTCTCAGTAATAATTACACTAGGTCTTCATTTTATCCCAGCATTCTCTTCTTGTTCATGCTTTCAGTGACTGAATAGCTTGCTATTGCTTGTTAATCCCTACAGGAATGCGGCTTTGGATACGGGGAGGATGCACAGTGCATGACATGCAGGCCAAACAGATTCAAGGAGGACTGGGGCTTTCAGAAGTGCAAACCTTGTCTGGATTGTGCATTGGTTAACCGGTTTCAGAAGGCCAACTGCTCTGCCACCAGCAATGCGCTGTGTGGGGACTGTTTACCAGGGTAAGACCATTTCTGAAGATGAGACGTGAACAAATTCTAACCTAATTTACATTAAAATTACTTGTTCATGTTTTCTGGATAAATGTTGGTACCCTTTGTGTATGCATGATGGTCCTATGTTGTAATCTTGGCCTTACTGTATTATCTGAGCGTGTAATTTCTGAATTGTTGTAGTAATTACCTACAAAAATGGTTTTATAATTACCTACTTGGTCTGTGAGAGTACTGTCTGTACAGCACCTGAGCAAAATCCCTCAAACAGCATTACTGGTCACTTAGTTCATTGTTATAAAGAATTAAACATTTGGAAACACACACAGCTACCTTCTTCAAAAATTATCACATTATTTGTTTGCATTTTTTCTTCAGCTTAAGTCAATGCCTAACACTTCTCATGCACATATATTCTTAAGTCAAAAGCAATGTCTGTGCTTTACTGTCTGAAATTTCCTTTACCTTTCTTTTCTTTAAAATTCATAAAGCATGATCCTAGCTGAGACTCATAAATTAACCTGAAAGAATTGTTTACAGAAACTGCTGTTACAAATCAAGAGCAGTGCTTAGTTTCTTGTCCTGCCATCCCAAAACCCTGTTGCCAGTTTTCTCTGCTTGTAGTATTAAATCTTAAGATCTCTAAAAGGCTATTCTTTACATTGTTGCCAAGTTCCAATACTATAAACACCTGCCATGAATTTGTGAAAAGACATTTTTGTTGCTTTTTCTGAACTGGTAATTTAACTGATAGGAGTAGTGTATGTGAACTGATTTGCAATTGTAACAGCCTTTGTATTTTCAGAGTATATATTTCAGACACACTTAAAAGTTCATACATTTGTTTAGTTATCTATATTTCAGCTGTTTTATTTTTTTTTAACACCAACTATCAAATAGCTGAACACTGTTGAAGCTTCTGCAGTTACTCCTCGAGCCAGAGGTGAAATCTCTTCATTTAAAAGCACTTAGTAAAGGTTTGGTAACTAATCTTAGCTTAAGTCACTGCATAAGAAGGTGCAGCCCCAGGCATTATAGATGTTACAACCACTTTTGATATCGCTTGCAGCCACATGGTGAATTGATTTATGCTCTTATGGCATATTAAAATATATGTATTGTAGGACTTACTTGGTTGTCAGCAGGGAGAAGATTTTCTTCTTCTGTAAATAGTATAAGCTGAAATTTGGAAGATGAGAAAGGAATAAAAAAGAAGTCACATTAGGACATGAATTAAGGGTAAAGCTAAACTGGAGGACCTGGGAATGCTTCTCAGTATTCTGGTCTAGAATGCATCTTACATAGGTGTGTAGTGTGTTTTAAAATGAGAGCTTCTCCCACAACCTGAGTTTTCTGGCAGCAAAGTTGGAAACTGGAGGAGGGAGGGAGTCATGGCCATGGCAAGGGTAGTCACAGGGCATCTGTTCTGGATGTTTTGGGTAACAGAACTTTAGAGCACTCCGCCACTCATACCTGTCCTTTAGTTAAGGTGCTTCCCAAATGAATGGAGGATACAGCTAGCCTGACCAAATAGTTTAGCTGATGTTTTACCTCTCAGCACTCTTATTCAATTCTGTTTTGCATAGGTTTGTTTCCAACATGCCATTCTCTATTGTTCAGCTTCAGAACACTACAGTGAGCTAAAAACAAATATTAACGTATTTTGTTCAAAGTAAATGATCACAGTGACCCCTTCAGTCTTGCAGCCTATGGATCTGTTTCTGTTCACATTGTTAAAGCAGGAGTTTCTTGAGCAGTTGGAAAGCTGTTTGCTTTAGCTGATAAAAGCTTCATACTTTAATGGCATATAACATCAGTAGAGTTAGTACCTCTTATTTAATGTGCCACTATGACTACAGAAAAAAATTTCATGTACTCATCTTGAACAGGCCACTGCTGCTGATTCTGTCTTAGTACTAATGAATGGTTGAAAGACAGATAGACCTATTTGATTAGGAGCTGTAGGTTAAGTTCTTTAGAGGATGTCATACATAAAAATTTGAAATACAGCATTCTAAAGTTCTGATTTTTTTCTTTGGTGCTACTCTTCTTCCTTGATTTGGAGAGCAGGGTTTTGCCAGTCACTGCAGTTAGTATGTTCTTTAAACATAAGCTCAGTAATGAAGTTCTAGAAGGGTCTTTAAATAAAATGTCACTGATATCCAGTTTGTTATATATTTTTAGAGGTGATAATTACCTTGTAATATATAGATCAATCACTTCACTTTTATTTTTTAGACGCGTAACTAAGCTTGCATTAGGTAAGTTCTTAACAAGTGTCATGTATGTTGTGATCTGTGTGGAAAATGAGATCTTGATTTCTGTCCAAAATATCCGTATTTTTTTCTTTCTTCTGTGAATATGAGATTATAGTGACCATGCATTTGGACTAACAGATCAAGAAATCTTCCTCAGTTTATTTTAGATCTGTCTTGTACTATTAACTAATAGCTACTGTATACTTTTGTTTACTTTTATTTTCTTCTATTTTCTGATTGTTTGCATTGAGACACAGATTGACAAAACTTGCAGTTATAGAAGATTTTGTTAAAACACCTGATTGATTTTGTGAGGAGTAATAACTGGTTTTCATTAATACTTTTTTCACATTCTTCTGTCTTCTAGATTTTATAGGAAGACTAAGCTTGGAGGCTTTCAAGACATGGAATGTGTTCCTTGTGGTGATCCTCCTCCTCCCTATGAGCCTCACTGTAAGTGCTGATTCTCCTTTAGAGTGTTTTCTCTTTTAAAGCCTGGCAAAAAAAATGACAGTCACAGTCACAAACTGTTTTTAAAGCTCATTTTCTTGTTAGTAAATGATTTTGCTCATATATTTCAGTAGGTCCAGTACTGTCATTGAGAAGTTCCCACAAATAGCCAGTCCCTTGTGGATAAACATTCCTGTCACACCACGTGGTCAGGGAGTCTTGACTGCACTTCTGATCTCGTCTTATAATTTTTTAATTTCTGTGTTAATGCCAAAAGAAAAGCAATCTTCCTAGACTCTCTTCCCACTGTCAGGTAGGGTAGTATCTTTTCCTGACACCCAAAAAGGTATTTGTTGATACCTTTAAAAATAACTTTTATACTAAGGTTACAGTGAAAGTTATATAGATAATAACTTTATATTCCTGTATACTATTTAAAGGAAATAAGTAATTTATTTCTCTATTTGTTTATCCAAATGAGAGAATTAGAAACTCTTCAAAAGGAGAGAACCTCTTTATTCTGTAGCAGAAGCCTTGTTTACCACTTCTTCCAAGACTGTTGGTGGTCTACATCACATCATGTTTTTAATTCAATGAAAAGAGTGAACAATTATTTTTGTGTTTATTGCTGTCTACCTTATAAAAAGAAAAATACATGTGATTCAAGATAATTATGTGGAAAATCTTGGGTTTATTTGTTTGTTTCTGTAACTGTGAAGTTATGTTTTAGGATTTTTTTCCTGTCGTTCAAACAGAACATTGTTTATAGAAAGAATAAATTGTCAGGTTTGTGAAATACTTTATGCTACTTTAATAAATACATACTGTTTTTTTATAAATATGCTTTATTTTTTTAAATTGTGTAGAATTAAAATAGAACGAGGAGTATATTATTGTGCATTTTTCAATAGTTTTATATTGTATTAACTTCAATGAAATAAGGATTGTTCCTCTTCAGTATTTCATATATTGATTAGATAGTCTTTTTTCAAATAAACCAAACTTTCTTCTTTGTCTCTCATCCTAGTTTTAGTGCCTTTTAGGTAATAAACTTATTAAATCAGATTTTCAAACATTTTCCACATTTATAAAAACTCTTAAGAACTGCAACACTCAAAGCCAGTAAATCAAAGAATAAGTCAAATAAGTTCTAATGTTTGTAGCAGTAACTCATGCCCATGTATAACATAAGCTTAGAAAGTAAATTCAAAAATGTTAAACTATTTTTGTAGTCTAGACAATATATTAGAGTGTTTAGAAAGAATGTTCTTCATATCAAGCACTGTCAGATTTGATGCCAAGAATGAAAATGAAATGCTGGTCTGGACTTACTGAAGTAAATCGCTGAAATTCAATGAGTTGCAGGAGTTATTTCTAGACAGAGTATGAAACAGACAGGCAATTTCATATATTCATGTATTTAAATTCTTTCAACTGGCAAATTCAGTATTATCCCTTTCATTTGTTTTTACTCTTTTTATCTGCAAAAAAAAGAAAGTTAGTGAAATGTAAAGTGCAGCAATGTTGTTTGAATGGAGGATCTCTAACTCATAAATTCAATTTTTGTGGTTTTTTTTCTATTTTCTTGTTTGTTCCTTTCCAAGAAAGTATGCTCTTCAAACATGACTTCTGTTCTCTAGCATAATCGAAGAAAGGGAAGAAGAAATTATCTCCCTTATCATTCGGCTTTGACTGTAATTAGTGACTTGTGTATTTCACATTTTTCAAAGTCAGAAATTCTTATTTTGAAAAGGTGATGAAAGAACAGTTGCCAAGCATTCTGAAATAACTCAGATTGTTTAGTTTATAGTGATTTGGCTTTTGTAATTGAGCCTAAGCTTGGATCTTAAATTGAACCATTAGGAAGCTATTATTCATTTTAAATGGACAACAGGCAACCCCACAGAAAAAAAGCATTTTCTCTGGCACAAGCTGCAGTGGTAAATCCAGATTAGAAATGTTTTTGTTCCCTACTCTCATGGCTGGCACAACACCTTCGGCTAAATAACATAAGTGGTAACAGCAAAATTGTGGGAATTGGCAAATATTTCTAGCTTTTACAAAAGCAGTAATAATAAAAGGTTTGAAATCATTAAAATGTTTGTTATTTACATACTAACCGCCCATTAAAATCCTAAATAGCAGAAATCCTACCATGAAGTACGGTTGCCATATGGTACTGTGGTTTTCAGAAGGCTTTTGTTCAGAATTTGTGTGTTGGTTCTTCAGGTTCTAACAGCAGTTGCCTCAGTTTTGGAAAGCGTACATGCCTTCCTCAAGCAGCCTAGGAAGTTTTTCCTACAACAGTAGCTAAATGAACTGGAGTACTTTTGAATTTTACTTAGCATAAATAGGGAGAAGTCTAAGTAAAAAACATGATTCTGTAAGGATACATAAATAACAGTGTGTGGAACTTTTTCCATGTAATGCTGAAAATGTTAGTGGTCTATTTCAACAATGGATATATTTTGATAGTTAAGACTGCATTACTTGAAGCTAAGTGGAGAAAGACCATTAATTGTGTGGCACAAGCCCTCAATGATCAGAGAACTAAGTTGTAATTCTCTGCCTTTCTTATCCTTCTCTCTTTCCACTGTGAAACAGAAAGTCAAATATTAGTGCAGCTAGCTCTTATGTTACAGATGAAAAGGAAAAGTTTAAATGTCCTGTTTCAATGAATTAATTGTCCTTCAAGGTGTGTGGCAATCTTTTGTTTGCTTAAGAACATTACCATAAGGGCACAAAGGCTCACAGCCCCCTACCTGGACTACAGGTTCATGTTAAAGCTGAGGCATGGATCAAATTCTTTCTAGTAGCTGTTGATTATTACCCGGTTAGCTATAAATCTAAATACTTGCTTTTATCTCCTTTCTGTAGACATTTTAAAACAGATCTGGTTTAAATATTTACTCATGAAAAAATGAGTTTGTGAATTGCTAGAGGCAAAGTTGAAAGGATTCTGTAATGAACAAGTTAAGAGAGTATTAGAGGCCGGGAGAATTGCTATCACCTTTGTGCAAACTTTAAAGGGGGACACAATGACTTATGTGTGGTTTTAAAATGTCAGAAAATTAAATACACAATTATACAGTTATATTTTAATTTACTTAGTTTCAGGTAAATAAACTGTAAATACCAATCTTATGTATACGGTCAGCATCTAAACATTAGAAATGAAAGCATGTTTTTAAAATTGTGATTTTTTGCTCACTTTGTAAACTGAAGACTTTTTCTCATCTGCATAACAATATGAATTTTTTGAACTGGGAATTAGAGTGGAATTAGAATTTGTTAAAGACGTTAATTCTTAAATAGAAGGTAATGTAGAGTGTCCAAAAATATTGAAACAGTAATGTTGATATGGTTCAATGATTCTTTTTTCTTAGTACCAATTTAGATTTGCAGAGTTCACTCTCGTGTCTGCTCAGACCTCTGTTGTACTTTCAACATGGTTATGCTTAAACTGTTACTGAAACTGCTCAGTAAGCTAGATTATGAAGCTATCTGTGATAGAAAAATAATTAAAATAACTCCCTTCTTAGGGTTATTTTTAAATCTAATGAGCTCATTGACCTCAAAACAATTGTGGTGGCACAAGTTAAGGAGAGATGTGGGAATGATTCAGGTAATGAGCAGATTTTCCGAGACATCATTGCTTTCTTGGAACAACCACTATCTTTTCAGCTACTCTGTCTTAAGAAATAAACAAAAAAACCCCCACCATTAGAAACCATACTTTCTGTCATAAGAAGATGGCAGATTAAAATTGAAGCAAGAGAATTATTAAGTCAGCTATTCTTAAAAGCGGTTCCTTTTGTATTGTTCAACACAAAATGCAGAAAAGCCCCAGGGTCACAAGAATCATTTAGGTTCTGGATAGACTTTCTACTAAGCAGAAGAGCCTATGACATGGAACTTTTTTGAGATGTATTACAAAAATAGTTCCTAGAACTTCCACATTACTGTTCCGTTCTGTATAAATCTGAAATCAGTGGTGCTCCTCTTTTATGTGCAATTTCAATGTAGAATTTGGCTGTACAAACAGTTAATTTGGAATAAATTGTGAGAGTCAAGGAAATGAGGAAATTAACACCTAGGCACAGGGGAGCATTTTATGGCCAAATGGCCACCAAAAAATAAAACTTGTCCCTTTTTTTTTTTTTCCTCTAGTAACCACACTGTTACATTTATAAAAATACTAATTGTTTACACCATGAAAAAATTCACTGATTGTCCAGGCAAATTCCTTCTTTCTCCAGGACTATTTCTGCTTGTCTTCATGGCATAGATCAAGGAGCATGGGAAGCTGGCGGGGGACAGTATGGGGGAGGGATACCATTCTGTGTGGAGCTTGGGAAACTAGCCTCTACATGTTCCAGGAAATAAACACATTCTTTGCTTCAATGAAGCAGAAATGTTTTGTTGAATAAGTCACAGCAGTAGACATATCTGCAGTTTGATTGTAAAATCATGTGCATTTGAAATAAACCGGCACTCGGGTCTAAAATTGTGACTTCTTTTGCCATGAGCCATATTGATTTCAATTATAGAGTGTCTCAAACTAGAAAAGTTTTTACTAAGTGAGGAATAAAAGTAGAGACTGTGATTTTTTTAAGACAAAATACATAAAGAAGATCATTAAATGTGAAAACATTACATTTTTTGAGGCATCTATACCTGCTTTAAATTTTGTTCCTTTAAGGAGCTCCTATGGCATTTTGACTGCCTTAACTAAGATTGATCACAAAGCTCCCTTTACAGTTTTCATGTGTAGATTTTTTTATTACTTTCTGTATGTTTGCAGTATTGTTTTTTGAGAACTAAATATAAGTGTCCTGGAGCTGACTGTCACTCTTCAAATCTACAAGGTATGTTGTTTCACTAATGGAAAGTACTATTTAAGGGACAAAATCTGGTGTTATTTCCTTCTTCCTGGAGTTAAAAGTAGATGGTGTAGGAAAAGTAAGATTTCATATAAATCTACTTATTTACATTAACAAGAT